TGAATCCATGTATTATACGCTAATATTTTCATTATCACAATTTAAGTGAAGTATGATTCATATTGTCTTGTTATAACATCCGAGCAATATTCTTCGTATGAGATATTTATTAACCTTTGATGACTGTAGTAACATAATAATTCAAAAAGTAGCTCTTATTTTCCTCGGGATTCTCATACATAAAATAATATTATTATGAAGGTAAATATCTTATATGTTATAGACATTTAGTATGCAAAGAATATACCCCATTAAAACTTTATTTGGGAAAATCGCGTAGAAAAAATTATAATGAAGGAAAAATAATATATTACTCTTTGAAAATACGTTACATAAATTGTATCATTAAAAACATTATTAGGAAAATTCAACAGGACAAAACCTTTGTCAAGGAAAAAGAATACAATGCGTATATATTTTTCTCATGATACAATGACTTGAATTATGTGCTCTAGGCATATTAAATGTTTCAATAAAATTAATAGTCATACTAGATGAGTTGACTATAATTGTATTTCAAATTTCATGTATCATCTGGATAACAAGATACGAACTTGTGATTGCATACACCAGTTCATTGCGAAATTTGTTATGTTAAGATTTATGCATTACATATTACGGCTTTATTGTTTTAATTTCTCTTTTCATAAGTATACACCTTTAGATTTTCATACCGTAGGTCCAGAAAACTTCAATTTTGTCTAGTCAATTCAATTTAAATAGAATTGTTTTCTTTTATATGGCTAGTTATTTCTTCAATCGATAAGATTGAATAAATTTGTATCTTCGCTATTTATAATATGAAGTGGTGCATTATGTACAAAAATGTTGTCCACAAATTTTTCTTTTCCTATATGTTACTTCTCATAACATCATAACTTATTGAGTAATCTCCAATTCCAATATTTTAAATACTCGAATCTCTTATGCAGGTTTATAATTATTTATGTCTATATGTCGATTGTATTCACGCTCCATGTCATAGATATATCAAATATAATGTTAATAAATTGTCCTCACAGGATATCAATTCAAGTTGGAGTATTTAAATTGATGTATGAAATATTGTTGATCTCCTTAATCAATAAATACATCTAAACAAATTATTTTTTGAACTTCTAGTTCGAATTATTTTTTGTGAGGATCAAGATAATATAATGATACATAATGTACATAATTTTTCAGCTTCTTAATTCCTTTCCTAATGCTGAGAAAATTATTTAGTCACTGATAATCAGCAAACTGCTTTATATAATATCACTCGGCGTTCTACTACAAACAATTACTGACCACAATCTCTAGTTTGCAGCTTCACACAAAAATCCAACGTTTTTCACCTTAAAGTTATGCTTGCACGCTACAAGAACATCATCATTCGATCTCTTACCGTTTTACGATACAACATTTGCAACTGTCTTTATATCATCCATTTGTCAACATTTATACGTAAGTAGTATCCAACGGTAGCTTAGTCAGTACATGATGGAATGATTCGAGAATTTGAATGATAAAATCAATAACGACTTGCTTATTTGATGCCTCGGTGTTTTCTTCAAATGGTTAGTCATAGCGAAAGCAAGTCTGAGATTGACTTACAAATCCATTGATCACGGAAAGCTTGAAATATATGAAAAAGGGTAAATTCAAGTGGTAATTACACCAAACCATACTTTAAATATTCAACTTTCTGAAATCAGATTGGAAGTTTGATATTTCAAAAATCAGAATTTTTTTTTATATTAATTATTTAAAAAACATTGAGTTAATACATCGCAAACCCTAATTAATTTTACTCTCATCTCTTTCTCTACATTTCTCCCCCAACCCCCAAACCCGTTCTTTCTCTACCCCCTTCCCTCTCTCGCCGCCGTTGACCCCGCCACCACCACGATCTGAAGCGGTGATTGAAACGCCGTCAACTAACCTTACCTCACTCCCACCTCATTTCCCCAAACCCGTTCTCTCACTCGCGGCTATTTTCTCTTTCGTCACCTTCACGATCATTGAAGCGGTGATTGGAATGACATCATCTGCCGCCACGACATCTGACGAGGCGACCAACGCAGATCGTGGCTACAACAGCGTAGATCGCGATGGTGAAGTTTTTTTGGTTGTAGGATGTGGTTTTCCATATTTTGGTGGTTTTGGGTTGTAGTGGTGGTACTGTAGTCGTGTTGAGGTATTGAAGGTGATGGTGGCACTGGAGGTGGCGGCGTTGGATTTGGTGTTGGCGGAGGCAATCGGGGTTTTGTAGTTTTTGGGGTTTTTTTTGTTGGTTGTGGTGTGCTGTTGCGTGCAGTGGGTGTGGCCGGATCTGGTGGCGATCTGTAGTGGTGGTACTGCAGTCTTAGCTACTGCAGATCACCACCAGATCCGGCCGTGAATGATTTGTGTGGTTGTTGGCGATGGTGGTAGGTCCAATGGCGATGGTGGATTTGGCAGTGGAGGTGAGTTTTGTGGTGAAGGTGATTTTGTTGAAGATCTAGACAGCGGTGGTACAGGTGGCGGTCGACAGTGGTGGTGACAGTGTCAGTGTTAATGGTGGTTGTGGTGGTGGCAGCGGCGGCGATGCGGCTGGTGGCATTGGTGAGGTGGTAGTCACAAGTGTCGATGGTGGTCACAAATTTTTTTTATAATGGACTAACCGTGACTTTAAAATTCGACAATTTGTGACTAAAAATTAATCCGTGACCAATAAA